ATAATGACAATAACAATAATATATACAATAAATCCATTTCAACCGTGTGTTAATTAGGTACATATTTTGTGTGCTTACAGTTTATGATTAATACTTTCCTTATCAATGAAACAATATAATCCCATTTTCAAATAAGCAATATCCAATATATCTATTTTTAACTATCTTCTCTTATTGCTTTATATATTCATCTAATCCATTTTTAATTTGTTTTGTTTTCTAACCATTGGTAAAATAAATCCCATACCATGTAATATTCAGATTCTTCTTTTCCTTTACTTTCCAATATTAATCTATTCATTTCTGCACATTCAAATATTTTCTCAATTACTTTTCCCTCCTATCGGCATCTTATCACTTTTCCAGTTCTAAGCAAACACAATTCTAGCTGCTGTTAATACATGTACGATTAAATATGCTTTCTTCTTTATTGTAACCTTCAGGTACCCTTCCTAATAAAAAAATATTTCGGGTTTCCAATCTATATGGTGTTTAATAATTTTTTCCAACCACGAAGGAGATGCTTCTTGTGAGTAACGCCTTTCTCTCCCGATTCAGGTCCAAGGCATTCCTTTGCCCCCACCTCCAATGGGCATGCCCCCGATGCAGCCTCCCCCTCCCCCTCCTCCTGGCATGGGCCTCAACTTCCCCATGGGCGTGGGACCTCCTCCACCGCCCCCCACTCTGGGCCCGCCTCTCCGCATGCAGATGGATCCTTCCTCGTTGCCCGAGGAAGAGCGACTGAAGCTGGCTCAGCAACAGGCCGCCATGTTGATCCAACAGGAGGAGAGAGGCAAGCAGGTAACAACACACCTTGCTTTGGAGATGCACAGGTATGTGGGGGAGGGGGCGTGTGTATGTGGGTAGCAGCCCACCAGCAGCCTTCCTTAATTTGGCATCTTTGCATTGTCTTCCACTCTGCCTCTTACAATCTCTCAGGCCCCAAACCCCAAAAATGACACACAGTGATTTTTCCAAGCTGAGTTTACTATGGTTTCCACACCTGTAGAGAGCATCTTGCCTCTGCATGTATGTGAATTAATAGGGAGAAGCTGTTCATAATTACAATCATTCAACATAGAGGGAAAACGGAATATTATTTGGTCTGGGACACACGGTATAAATGGTTAGAAGATAGAAGTAAAGATTAAATATAAAGGTAATGTAAGCAGTATATTAAACTTAATGGCAATGTATATAGTTAAAGGAAGAAAAAGAAACATAATTGATATGTATATATGAGTATTATTGATGCTGGAAGGCGGCAAAGACTGTAAAAATGTTAAAAATATTTAAAATATTAAAAAATAAACATAGGATACAACAAGTGATAAATCATAGATACCAATAGGAGAAAGGAGTAGGAAAGATGAGAAGATAAGGAAGATGAGAAGGATAATGAGCCACGTTGGCACAGTGGTTAGAGTGCAGTACTGCAGGCTACTTCTGCTGGCTGCCAGCTGCCTGCAATTTGGCAGTTCGAATCCCATAAGGCTCAAGGTTGACTCAGCCTCCCGTCCTTCCGAGGCCAGTAAAATGAGGATCCAGATTGTTGGGGGCAAGAGGCTGATCCTATAAACCACTTAGGCCTGTAAAATCACTGTGAAGCAATATATAAATCTTAAGTGCTGTTGCTATTCTCTCAAGCACAAAAAAATTCAATGTACTCAACTAATGGATAACTTATTTGGGCTCTAGATAAGAGACAACGGAATTCAAGAGAGGTTGGACGTGGTCCATTTGTGGCTACGTAGGGATGCTAGGCCGATTCCTCTTTTGACTCCGCCACCCACCCAGGTTTTGACACTCCTCTTACAATCTGGAGTGTACCCCTTCCCACCTGGGAGCCCAGCCTACTACATTCTATCCCATAATCCCCAGCTTGTCTCAGTGTTGATGTCCTGGAGGAGCAGGAAGAAGACGGGGAAGTCCTTTGCTCCTTGGTGCTCTCTGAGCTTGGTTGGTTTTTGTTTTTTGGTGGGTTTTTTTTGCAGACCTAGCTTGGTAACGAAATGTCCGCAAAGAAAACCACCAAGCTCAGAGAATGCCAAGTGGGAAATCCATACAGGTAGTCCTTGACTTACAACAGTTCCTTCAGTGACCATCCGAAGTTCCAACGGCACTGGAAAAAAAAGGACTTAAAGCCGTTTTTCACACTTACCACCATTGCAGCATCCCCAGGGACACCTGATTTACATTCAGATGCTCGACCATGGGCTCACGTTTATGATGGACACAGCATCCCGGGATGACATAATCATGTTTTGAGACCTGACAAGCCAAGTCCACGGGGAAGCTCGATTAACAGCGCACTGTTGTTAATAACCAATACTGCTGTCAGGACTCCCAAGAAATCCACCCTCATTCAAATCATAAGTCTCTAGCCGCATCTCTCAAGAGAAAATAAAATTGATTTATTAGAAGTGGCCGTGTTGATGTTAGCTGGATGCAGCCGATCCTAAAATACATCATTTCCCCCTTGACCCTGGTCTTCCCCACCACTCCCTGGATGTATATTCGCCAATGGGACACATCCCTAGCCAAGAGTCATCAATCACGCTCTCCAGTAATATTCTTGCGCTCCAACAACTTTGGGCTGCCAGGGTGATTATCTAGGCACTTAAGGGATGCACTGTTCCCCCCCATCTCTTTTTCTGGCAGCTAAAAAGACTAAAGGAGTATCTTTTTAGCTGACAACTGCGGTGTTTCGCTTCACAAAGATGTCAAGAGAAGCCGTAAAACGGGGCAAAAGCTCCTGTCACCAATTTCTCACTCGACAACACAAATTCCGGGCTCGACTGCGGTCGCACGTCGAGGGCTGTCTGTAACGTTATTTAGAGAAAGGAGCGCTACGCAGTGGTGAAACAGCCTCCGTTTGCTTCCCCATCATTCGCAGGTGGAGGGCCAAAAGTTTGATAGTAAAGTTTGTAGTGTTGGGTCCGTGTTGACTCTCTTCTCCCTCCCTCCCTCCCCTACCCCCCCCTCCTCCCCCACCACAGGCAGCCGTATTAATGGAGCAGGTGCGCCATCAAGAGATGTCAAAGCTAGCCCCTTCAGTACCTCGGACAGTTCCAGATCTGCTATCAAGACCTCAAAGCCACCCCAGAAGTAAGTGCTTTTTGGGCCAGGACAGGAGGTTGGGTTTTTTTTTTGCATTTTTGCAGTTTCTGGTGTATATTTTTATTTATTTAAACCCATGTTTATTATTGTTACAAACAACTTTAGACAGCACACACACCATCCTCCTTCTGTTTTTCCTAGAGCAAAAAACTCAATGCAACCAGCCCCCTTCCTCCAGTGTGTAGGGCTTACAATCCCCATTGTCCCCAACTAGCAGGATCATCGCACGCCTCCGGAAAGCATGAAAAGGGTTCCTAAACAACTACACATTTCCTTCAATTTGGGGTGGCCAAGATTTTGGGGGACTTCCACACCCATTTGTTCAATGTTCACCCATCATCCTGTCCCCTTTTGGGCTAAGCAAGGTTAATCAAAGCACAGGGGGGGACAAAAGAAAAGGAAGTGCTATTTAAATCAAGGAAATTAAAGGTCGAAGATCAAAGGAGTAAAAAGCTTTCACTCCGTCTACATTACAACCAATTTATTATATCTTCCTACGATTTCATTTTGTTTGTTTGTTTCCTGCCTTTATTGTTTTTATCAATAACTCAAGGCAAACATATCTAAAACTCCTTTCTCCTCCTATTTTCCCTACAACAACAGTCCTCTCAGGTTGGTTGTGCTGAGAGAGAGTCTAACCCAAAGTCACCCAGCCGGCTTTTGTGCCTAAGGAAGAAGTGGAACTCCCCACCTCCTGGGGAACAATTAACCAGTATAGTTGACTTGAGGAATCCTGGGAGTTGAAGTCCACACGTCTTAAAATTGCCACGTTTGGAGAGCCCTGTCGTAAAGCAGATAACAGATAACAGAGAATCAGTGTTGGAAGGGACCTTGTGGGTCATCTAGTCCAACCCCCGCCCAAGCAGAAGACCCTACACCATTTCTGACAGATGGCAGTTCAATCTCTTCTTGAAAATCTCAAGTGATTAAGCTCCTACAACTTCCGAGGGCAACTTCTGTTCCATGGGTTGATTGTTCTCATGTCAGAAAGTTTCTCCTTATTTCCAGGTTAAATCTTTCCTTGTTCAGTTTCCATCCATTATTTCTTGTCTGGCCTACAGGTGCTTTAGAAAAAAGATAGACCCCTTCCTCCTCTCTGTGGCAGCCCCCCAAATATTGGAAGACTGCTCTCCTGTCTCCCCTGGTCCTTCTCTTCCCTAGACTAGCCAAGCCCAGTTCCTATAACCATTCTTCATATGCCTTAGTCTCCAATCCCCTCATCATCCTGGTTGCTCTTCTCTGCAATTTTTCTAGAGCCTCAACATCTTTTTTATAGTGTGGTGACCAAAACTGGATGCAGGACTCTAGTTGTGGCCTTACTAAGGCTTTATAGAGTGGTTTTAGTACCTCACTTGATCTCGATTGTATCCCTCTGTTAATGCAACTTAGGATTTGCATTGGCATTTTGGGCTGCATTCAGTATTTAAAATGAGAGAAGTGGATTTGGTAAAATCATGGACTTGCAAGGGTATTTGAGAGAAAAAAAATCCCCCACTCCTTTGTGGCTGAACAGGAGTTGTTGTTTTTTTTAAAAAAAGCACAGCTTCCGTCAGCAAAAAAATCGATTGCATAACTGCTGCTTCTTAAGATAAAAGCAGCTGTTTCGAGGGATTTGCCAGCATTGCAAAGCAAAGCATTTGGAGGAAATAAACTCTTTTCTTCCTGTCTCCTGGGTTTTGAAATAAAGCACAAGAATTTTATAAAGGCTTAGGGCACAGTTGCACATTTCCAAAACTTTATATGCCAGGAAAATCTGGGTTTGACCTCCAGAATTAAAATCCTGCTCAGCAGCTTGGTTGGTTTCGGCCTTGCTTGACTGTTTCAGCCTTATATTTTAAGACTTCTAGTACTCCCATAATATGGGTGTAAAAAAACATGTGGAAATGTGGGGTCCTTGGATCTCTCTGGGTTGTTTTCTTGCCGACATTTCATGACCCAACTAGGTGACATCAGTGCTGGAAGGGGTTTGTGGAAAGGAGGAAGCTGACTCTGGAGTCCTTGATAGTTTTCTTGCAGACGTTTCATGACCCAACTAAGTAACGTCATCAGTTCTGGAAGGGGTTTGTGGAAAGGAGGAGGAGGGCTGTGGGGTTCTTGGTGCTGTCTGAGCTTGCAGACGTTTTGTGACCCAACTAGGTAACATCAGTGCTGGAAGCGAGTGTGGTTTTCACTATTTATATGCAAGTGACTTGCCCTGTCAATGTTGGTATTTTCCTTCATGGCTCCTTGATCAGGCTGTTGCTTACAGTCGAGACCAAACTCCCATTTCCTTCCAGCACGGATGGTGTTCCCTGCTTTGTCTTTTAAGCAAGGAAATGGCAAAGTGGTATTGCTTTAGCTCATTTGAGTCTCGGTTTCTCTATTCTAGTAAACCCATCTTCCAGCTCCCCCATGGGAATAGCGAGTTCAAGACCCCGTGGCCCCCCACCGCCTCCTGGAGAAGACAGTCGGGAGGTAAGTCCATTTATGGCCAGAGGTGGCCAACGGAGGGGAACTTAGGTTGTTGTTCCATCCACCCATCCAGCCAGCCAGCCAGCTCTCCATCCATCCACCCATCCAACTATCCATCCATGCATTTATCCAACTATGCACCAACTCACCCACCCACTCATGCATCTATCCAGCTATCCATCCATGCATCCACCCACCCATCCATCTAGCTTTCCATCCATGCATCTACCCACCCACCCACCCATCCTTCCATCCATGCATCCACTCACCTACTTACGCATCTACCCAGCCAGCTATCCACCCACCCATCCATGCATCCATCCAGCTGTCCATCCCTCCATCCATCCATCCATCCACCCAGCCAGCTGTCCATCCATGCATTTATCCAGCTATCCATCCATCCATACACCCACCCACCCACCCATTCATCTATCCATGCATCCATACACCTACTCATGTATCTTTCCAGCCAGCTATCCATCCACCCACCCATCCAGCCATGCATTCATCCAGCTATCCATGCATCCACCCACCCACCCATCCATTCATCCATCCAGCCAGCTCTCCATCCATGGATCTATCCATTCATGCATCCACCCATCCATGCATTCATCCAGCTCTCCATCCACGCATCCATCCATCCATTTATTCAATTTGTAGGAAGAGAAATTGAGCTATGTGTAGGTAAGGGAGGGGGAAAAAAACCAGCCAGGTACCTCAGCTCTTAAATCGGGATGAGATTCAATTACTTGGAAATTGCCTAAGAATTTTGTCTCCGGGTTCAAGGGGAGATCTGGTTTGCACTTGTACAGCAGGCACATGAGTCAGCAGACTTGCCTCCGTGGCCAAATTCTTTGCGTCCTCTTTCCAGAGGGTTCTTAGCCTGATTTGTCACAAAGTTTATCCACTCCGTCAGCTCAGATGCCTTTTCTCTTTGCCCACTGTTTCCTAAAGCGAAAGCATAACCAAGCCTGAACTGTTTGGCTCGGATGAAGCTTGCAGACAGATGACAATCTTGAGTGTTGATTTTGACCCTTTCAGATCGACGACTCAGGGGTGGGCCCCAAAATTCCTCAAGCCTTGGAAAAGATCCTTCAGCTTAAGGAGATCCGTCAGGAAGAGCTGACATCTGTACCCGGCGCCATAGGTAAAGGACCAGAAATAGGACTCCTGCGAAATCTAGTTCAGAGACACTCATCAGTGCTACAGACAGACAGATTATGGAATTGCATTGCTGGGATGAGACTTGGAATCTCTTTTTTTTTTTTTAAGTTTCTAATCCTCATGATAATAGTGGAAACAAATGGGGAATCTTGATTGGCCGAGTTAATGTCAACCCAAAGAACGACACCAGGAGTTGCTTCTGAGTAGTTTCTCTATGGTTGTTCGCCCATAGACAGAATCTTGCCAGACTAAAGCAATTATCTGCATCATTAGCGGTACACCTCAAATTACAACCACAACTGAGCCCAACATTTCGGTTGCTAAGTGAGTCATTTGTCAAGTGAGTTTGTCAAGTGAGTTCCAACCTATTTTGCCACCGTTGTAAAGTGAATCACTGCAGTTGTTAAAAGTTAGCAACGTGGTTGTTAAGCGAATCTGGCTTCCCCACTGACTTTGCTCCTCAGGAGGTCACAAAAGGGGATCTCATGACCCCGTCATAAATACGAGTCTGTTGCTGAGCGTCCGAATTTTGATCATGGGACTATTAAGATGCTGCAACGGTCCTAAGAATGAAAAACGGTCATTAAACCGCTTTTCTCAGTGCCGTTGTAACTTCAAACGGTCACTAAATGAACTGTTGTAAGTCGAGGGCTACCTGTAATCTTCCTTTTTTGGGGGGGGGGAGGGGGGCTGGTGTGTTTCTTCCCATTTTTTTCATCTCCCCCCCCCCCCCCCCGCACATTCCCTTAACCCCTGCCCTAATTTTGCCTTCCTTCCAGACGATGATATGGAGACAGAGCTGAGGATGCTGGCCGGCATCTCTGCCTCCGATGCTGAAGACGGCGCTTCGGCCCTGTCTAAGAAAGAGGTGAGGGGAAGCAAGAACTTGGGAAAGGCTGCAGCTCAAGAGACCGTCTTGTTCCCTTTTGCATGAAAAACGATCCTTAAATATTTATATTTAATTTGTAATACATGTAGCTATACTGTATACTGAAATATATATAACGTATCTTACGGCTATGGAATAGAGAGCACAGTGCATAGACTATAATTATGTAGATTTCTTTTTAGATACATATATGTGCTTAGTATTAATATGACATTTTTCTCTTCTGAGCCAATGACCTATATACATGAATCACATTTATCGATATTATTAAGGCATGGTGAATTAGTATTACCAATACTATGAATCACTAGCAGGTATTAATTGTATGTATTGTATTTATTGTACTGTCAAAAAAAAAAGACGCTGAAAGGTATTGACACATCTATTAGAGAAATCTTTGTCAATTTTTTTTATTATTTTGAATTTTTGTGAACTTTTTAATAATTTGAATTTCAATAAATTATTATTTTTTAATTAAAAAATAGAAAAGAAAAAAGATCCTCACTTCAGTGCTGACCCTGGTAGTGTCAGACCTGCCGCAGTCTGATCTCCCAGGAAAGTGAGACTCTCAACTCCATTTGATGGAAGGGAAAGGCACTTTTACTAAGAGATGCTGATTACGGGAGAATCAGACGGAATGTGAATTTCCCGCTGATCAATACAAAATAAGCCCCTTGGTTCTCCTTAGCCCACCCCCACCCTGGTCCTTACGTAGTGTATATTAGAGGGGAAGAATAATAGCAATGCACATTTAGTAAATAGTTTGACAATGTTGAGGGAATTATTTGTTTAGCAGAGTGATGGCGTTCAGGGAAAAACTGTCCTTGTGTCTAGTTGTTCTGTTGTACAGTGCTCTATAGCGTTGTTTTGAGCGCAGGAGTTGAAACAGTTTATGTCCAGGATATGAGGGGTCTATAGATATTTTCACAGCCCTTGTCATGCCCCTGTTGGAGACTGACTCCGAGGGAGAGGAGGAACAGCTGACAGGGAGTGGAAGTGTGGCTTTGGAGGTTGTGGAAGAGGCTGGGGAAGGGCAGAGGCCGGCCCAGGCCTATCCCTTCTTCATCCTAGGGCAAGCAGTAAGGAATGGAGAAGGGAACAACTTGGCTTACGGGAGAGGAAGTGGCCATGATCCCCCTCATTGGCTGCAGCTGGGGTGAATAGTATAAAGGAGGGGTGTTTAAAACACAGCATTGCTAGAAGCAAAGCGTGTTTTATTACTGGCTGAAGTTGATCTTGGTTGGCGTTCTTCCAACGGACTGTGCCTTGTTATCTTCTTGAAGTTTGTAATTAATTATCCTGGTGCTGTGGTGGAAATTCCTTCAGTGCAATTTGTTTTTTTTTATTTCTCCGTTATCTGTTCTTTGAGTTTGGACTGTATTTCTTTCATTTGGAGATTATTTTGGAAAGAGTTTAATCTCCAACTGCGAACAATTGAACAGTGAGGCCAAGTTGGAGGCATTAAAGGAGATTTATTTACGTTTGGGGATTTATTACATGTGTGCTGCTTCCTGGGTCATCACAGCCCTCCTTTTTGACTCTTGAAGTATACAGGTCCTCGATGGAAGGCAGGTTGGTAGCCATTGCTTTTTTCTGCACTCCCAATTACTCTCCAAAGTCTGTGTCTGTCTTGTTGGGTTGCAGAGCCAAACCAGACAGTTACAGAGGTGCAGATGATCGACTCAATAACTCCTCTGTAGAACTGGATCAGCAGCTCCTTGGATAACCCTTTGCTAACGGAGGTCTCCCTTTCTCGATTCCCTGAACAGAAAAACCGCAAACGACGGAACCGGAAGAAAAAAAAGAAGCAAAACGCCCCTTCCAAAAGTAACCAGGTTTCCCAGGCTGCCAAGGGACACGAGGAAGAATCGGGAAGTGATGCCCCTGTGGAAATTGAGTACGTGACCGAAGAGCCGGAAATCTACGATCCCAATTTCATCTTCTTTAAAAGGATATTTGAGGCATTCAAGGTATGATCAGATCTGGTTGTTCCAGAGCAGTGCAGAGACGCAAAGAGAGAGACACAATCAGGGGTGGAGATAGATCTTTTTGACTGTTGTTGAGACTCCAGGGAAAAAAACTCTAGAAAATGTTGAGACTCGAGATGTTGAGACTCTAGAAAAAGTGCAGAGAAGAGCAACCAGGATGATGAGGGGACTGGAGGCTAAAACTTATGAAGAACGGTTACAGGAACCGGGCCTGGCTAGTCTAGGGAAGAGAAGGACCAGGGGAGACAGGAGAGCAGCCTTCCAATATTTGAAGGGCTGCCCCAGAGAGGAGGAAAGGGGTCAAGCTATTTTCCAAGGCCAGACAAGGAATAATGGATGGAAACTGATCAAGGAGAGATTCAACCTGGAAACCAGGAGGAATTTTCTGCAACCTGTTCCGCCTTCTGAGAATTCCCTCCCCAACTCTTGTCCTCCCTTCCTCACAGCTGACCGACGACGTTAAGAAGGACAAGGAGAAAGAACCGGAGAAAACAGACAAGTTGGCCGCTTCGGCTTTGCCAAAGAAGAAGGGATTTGAGGAAGAACGGAAGGACAGTGACGACAGCTCTGATGATGAGCAGGTGTGTGTGTGTGTGTGTCTGTGTGTGTGAGGGTGTGGGGAGAGAGGGAGAGATGTGTGTGGCAGGCTGGTGGGAAACGCCCCGTTTTCCTCCTCTTTAGCCTTCTGTGTGATCCTGCGATGAAAAGAAAAGTAGTTTCTTGGTTTCGGGTTGCTAGACCAGAAATGAAACCTCCAGCCGCAGGGGCAGTTCATCCCCAGACTGTTAAGATTCTTGGGGACAGGTGGCCAAAAAAAGAGACTCGTCTCAGCACTTCTTATATAAGCCTTCCCCCTACAAGATAAAACAGGGGAAAGGTTGCTACGTTAGATAAGAAACCTGCACTGGCATAATAATGACGGATAATCAAATTGTTGGGAGGAAGTGACAGCTGCTCTCTCCAAACGAATTTCAGGAAAAGAAGCCGGAAGCTCCCAAGTTGTCCAAGAAGAAACTGAGGCGGATGAACCGTTTTACTGTGGCTGAGCTGAAACAGGTATGGCTTCCATTTCCTTTATTTATTCATTTGCCAAATTTTTATGCTACCTTTTTACTTTATAAGTAACTTGGTAATATATACTTAATGCTCTCCTCCTCCTCCTCCTCCTCCTCCTCCTCCCCCTCCTTTCTCCTTCCACCTACTTCTTTTTCCTTCCTTCTGCTTTCTTTTAACATTTTCTTGGATGAAAGTTATTATTCTCACTGGGCTGTAAATTGGGGTTTCGGTTTTTTTGTTTGGTCTCCTGAGGTTGTGATTTCTCTGGCTGGGCCTGGAGAAGTTCTATGATTGAAGACTAGAGAAATACTGTAGTGGTTTTTTTTTTCTTCTTACAAACGCTAGGCTATTTTCATTTGATATTTTACTATGTTATAGATGAAATTAAGAGAAGAACGTTTAATGAATACTTTTTTTAGTATGTGGATATGAATGCCTTAAGCTACCCTATAGATTGGTGTTATTTCTTTGAAAGAGGTGGTTGTATTTTTCATTTATTTGTATCCTATCTTCATTAAGGTAGATTAGGTAATTAGGTAGATGGACAGACAGACAGATCTGTAGATAGATAGATAGATAGATAGATAGATAGATAGATAGATAGATAGATAGATAGATAGATAGGATAGACACAGAGATATAATAGAAATTAGATGGGTGGATGGATGTGTGGATGGATGGATAGATAGATGAGATAGATAAGATAGACACAGAGATATAATAGAGATCAGATGGATGGATGGATGGATGGATAGACAGATAGATAGATAGGATAGACAGAGATATAATAGAGATATGATAGATTGATAGATAGATAGACAGAAAGACAGATAGATTAGATGATAGATAGAAAGAAAGATAGAAAAATACACACACACACAGAGAGAGATTGAGAGAGAGAGAGAGAGAGAGTAAAAGAAAGGAAGTTGGGATTTAAAGAAAACTTCCAGAGTCTGTTTGCTTACCTAATGCCAGGGACCGGGCAGGCTTCTACACATGTACTCAGCACTGGAGCTCAGCCTATTTCTGCTGAAGTCTGCTCAGTGAAGACGTCACCAATGTAAATGCCTTGTTTGGTGGCCATTGAGGGCGGCTGCCTGACAGGAAATTGGAAGGAAAGGTTTAATTTTTACTAGCCCAGAGTCACTTAGAACATAGCATCATAGGACTGGAAGGGACCTCAGAGGTCCATTAAAATATGTTAATTACAACCTGACGTAAAAGGGAAAGGAGGAAGACCCTACACCGTTCCAGACCTCTGGCTGTCCAGGCAAAATGGGCATTATTAAAATCACGTTAAAACTATAAAACTAAACAGGTGGGAAATTTTGGCAAAGATTCAGACATCACCAGCGCTGCACCACTGATCCCAGAGCAGGGTGGAGGGGAAAGCTTTCCCTGTTGAACTTCTGCCACTTGGTTCAATGTGTGTAATGACACTTGACCAAATAAAGT